CGCTGGAGAAGGAGATCATGTTTGGTAAGGTGGAGGGTCAGAGAGAAAGAGGAAGACCCCCAGCAAGATGGATTGGCAAAGCGGCAACATCGATGGGCTCAAGCGTGGCAACAGTAGTGAGGTTGGCCCAGGATCGGGCAGTGTTTCGTTCTGTTGTGCATAGGGTCACTATGAGTCAATACCAACTCTATGGCACCTAACAACAACAATACATTCGTGACGAGTCAGCATCAGTTCCACAGCAGCAGGTTTAAGAGTTTACATTTATGAAAATCATAAATTTAGAGCTGGCACAGAACTTACTTTTCTTCCCTCAATAAGTGATACTTGTGCTACATGAACGGGACGCCCCCGTCTCTTGAAGAGATGTCTTCCCAATAGACCTTAACCCTTTTTGTGGCATGATTACTTATTGAACCGTTTTGTTACATTGTATTGTTCGCCTTGTCTGACCGGTAGTACACAAGCCATCATGGTGATGAGAGCTCAAACCAGAAGTTCTTTCTAAGAACAGTGAGCTTTCAGACCAAATGGCTGCACCTTGTGATAGGAGAACCATTAAAAGGCTTTGAAGCACAAAATCTGTCCCATTTGGATAGAAATTCTGTGGGGGATGTGGAATGACAACGAGTAAAAATCTCTGTTCAAGAAGAATTTATTCATAGATTTATTTCACTAAAGGATGGGGATGAGTTTCAAATCATTTTTTCGGGTCTTCTGAATACTTGTAAAGAGGACCACAGCGGCTTAATGTTGATATGCCATATTTAGAATATGCTGGAAAAATTTTTTCGTTTAAGCTGCTGAAACAAATAATGGAAACTTTGGCATCAGTTTTAAGTTGGGCAAGGGCCCATTGGTGGAGGACCTTCTTTAGGTTACAACAAACAGAGGGGCTGAAGACTGCTGGACTTCGTAGCTGGACAGCGTGGCTCCAGTCCAGACCACCTGTGTCCCTTGCGCAGGTGGCTCGTGTGTACAGTAGTAATAATAATAATGCTTTCTGAGCAATGTTGTTAGTCAGGATACAGGTAAGAGCGCTAGTTCTAGTCTCACCTGCCCAGGTGGTATAACCAGGAAGTGTGCTCAAACCAGTTTCTCCACCGTGTCATCTTCGACAGGCTACTTCAACTGGTGCTGGTCCCTCCCTCATGGGGCTGTTGCAAGGATTACATAAGTTACCAAGTACCTGGCATTCTGTGGATCCAGTAGATGTGTTAGCTTTGTGGAAGTGTGGGTTCATCTCATCTGTCTATACCTCCTCCCTTTCCCCTGCGCTTTGTTCCAAGACAAAACTAGTGGCCATTGAGTCCACCCTGGCTCCTGGCAATCCACTGGTGTCAGTAAAACTGTGCTCCGGAGGGTTCTCCATAGCTGATTTTTTGTAAGTGGATTGCCAGGTCTTTGTTCTGAGTGTTTCTGAGTGGATTGAATGTCCAGC